TTGAGGGCTCTGGTTCTTCAGTGGGTTTCTAACAACCATTGTGTAAAGATTATGTAGAAATGAGGGAAGAAATACACAGAATAAAGAGAGGGGGGAAAAGGAGAGGAAAAAATCCTTTTGTCAGAAATAAAAAAAAAAAGGCAGCTTTGGCTAAATTAAATGTAATTATTCCAAAGGGGAAAGAATAAGGGCTGTGTAAGACAGTGTAGTTGATAAAGGCAGTTGCCTCTCTCCTACCTGTCATGATTAACGCTAACCTGAGGCTCTGTGTGATCTCAGCTAATCCTGCAACAAAGAGCCTTTCATCCTAAAATCATTATATCACACTCAGCTCCACAGATACCTGTTCAAGGAAGGGCTGTTCAGCCCTTTTCAAGGTTCTGCTTTGTCCCTAGGCACAGGGGAGAGCTTCAGTGGCTCAGGAGCAAACATCCCAAATTCAGCCTTCTGGTTCATCAATGCCCACTTTCAAAAAGAAGGCTTCTACTCCTGAATCCCACTTATCACCTCAAATCGTAGCACCCCAAAGTTTTGCACATGAAGAGTATCTTCTTTGTCCCTTCTGCGTTTCCAAACAGGGAGACAAAAATTTGGTCATTGTGTACAATGACTCTGTGGTAAAGAAGAATTAGCAGGAGATTGAAAGATGAAGCTAAAAAAATAATTGGAAGCCAGGCTCAAATTCTGTATGACTGACCATCATCTGGGGGAAAAAGAAATGCCATAATCTTCATGTCCTAACAGTTTCAAGATGAAGACAAGATTTCTTTCAGGGACCTGTAATCTATCAAATATTAAGGATTTGGGCTAAACAGAGGGTAACATTAAGAGGAATCCTCCAGGTGACTCTTAATGGCTTGTTATATTCAGGTTCGTCTGAGTTCCTTATGGTCTTAAGCTTTATGGATAAATACTTCATCAAAAATCAAGGAGCTGATCCCACAAACTAGCCAAAATAAAATGGATCAAGGCCAAACATGGAAAAAGCAGAGAGCTTCCTAAGACCAAATCCTCTCTATTCTCACTGCTGACTGATGAAAGACAATTCTGATCAATGTTTCTTTATCTGCTCTGTGAAGCCTTTGTAACCCATAAGATTACACACGAAAGTCCAAGTATGAAATCTGTATCTAGGGTCCCACGAAAGTAAACAAAAAAAAGGGAGGAAATAAGGTCATTTTTTCATTGGTTACAAGGAAAAGCCACGGGGGCAATGTTATAGAAGATAATCAATGAACATTTTTAAATTAGATAAAGTGATATTTTGATTAAGGAAAGTGGGGAAGTAGCACATGACTTGCATAAACCAAGTCTCATGGTGGGTGGGGGCTACATATTTCATTTATGACTGCCAGCACATAAAACTGTGTTTCCAGGCATAACTTACAGAGATATTCACACCCTTATCTAACTGGTCTCCTGAAACACCTTGTGCTGTCAATGAATGGCATAGCTTTTGGAAAGCAGGAGAAAAATAGTGACAAGATAAGGTCTGTACACTTAATACTGCCTATGCAAAGACATAGCAACAACCAGGCGGCTAGGATAGCAGTGTAGTCTAGGACTTGGTAGAGACAGGTTCTAGTTTGCTATGACACCCTAACTTGATGATCTTACTGCAGGATCAACTGATAGGAACCCAATGTGAGTGTAGGGCTCTGTAAGTGCCGTTAAAAGCACGGCCTACAACCTGATATGGGCCAAAAGTGGAATTAAACATTTCTAACTAGGGACACAAAAAATAATATTTTAAAATCTCCCCATTATGGGTCATTGTTAACATAGCCCATTTCCTATAATACTTTCAGTTTCTTTCTTTTAAACAAGGTGACAAATGTTTTTCAACAAGGTGGCAAGGTAACAGAATTGAGAGATAAATTAAGGTTAAATATGACAGTAACAGACAAGCACTGCCTGATTGAAGGTATAGCTGAGACATTGCTGAGAGTATTCCCCCGTTAGGTACGTTGGACAGATAAAGAATTTTAATGCAAAAGAAAGGGGGAAAAAAAGAGACAGAGTTGAGGCTTTGGTAATTAGTATTTGCTAGCATCTTGCTGGTAATACAACCAGCAAGATTTGCAAAGAAATATATCACCCGCAAGAACTCTGGCAAACAGTTAAACTGACCTGTGAATAGTTTAAAAATATTCTTTAAAGTTGCATTTCAGTGTTAACTCGTTGAATATCCACTAAAAGCTAGTTCATTAACCTTTAATGGCAGATCTACAGTTGTGGATGTGACTTAAAATTCAGAGGGCCTAACATATAAGTTTTTTCTGGTGCTCATTCTTATCATAGTATGCTTTAAAATGCCTCAATTCAGAGGATATAATAAGCAGAGAACTAGTCTTCCTGGCACCATTCCAGCACAGCTGAAATTAATTACAGCATTTCCAGTGAAAGGCAAAACAAAGAAATAAGAAAAACCTTTTAAAACTTAGTAGTTCTACCATGTGGGAAGGATTTGAGTGGGCATAGCTGAGCTGTACAAACTGGTAGCTCAGGTCTGATGGATAAGCACACAGGCAGGGTAGGCAAATAAAGCAAAGGACTAGAGAAATAAAAAGTTTTTCTATCAGGTATCACAGAACAATATTAGAGAAGCAATTATTTAATAACGTTGCCCTGACAGGTCTCCCAGTGATGTAAAGCTGGTAGGACAAGGCGCTGAGCTACCAGACCTCCAGGAGGAACACTTCCAGATACTGCATTTTTTCGTGGTTGTGTATTGTCCAAATGTATTTGTGTGTATGTTTATGTATCAAACTGTATTTTAAAATCTCATAAAGCATTTAAGATCATGGGATTCCATGTTACAGTCTCTGAATATATATCAGAAAGGCTCGCGAGGACTTCATTACGCAAATCTGTCAATGGCCTGATAATTTACTGGTTGGCATGCCACAGTCTTTTTTTCTAGTTATAAATACTCTGTGATAGTTATTCAAGACAACAGTTTATCTCAGAAATATCTGGATAAATTCAGAATTCTGCTAAAATTTAATGTCCAACAACTATACAATTTCAACGTTTTTATCATTAGTTTTTTTTAAAGTAATCAATAATACAAGATATAATGTTGCAGCTCAGGAAAGCTACACCAGCTCCATGAAGTTATGTCAATGTACACAATTCAAGGTTTAGCTTATATGGGCATGTGTGTGATAACATAAATACATACTAATATATATATGCATATATATAAAATTGCTCTTTGAATAGTAAGAACTATAAAAATAGGTGAATATGTATACATATGCAGATTTCTGTTTTCCCAATCTCATCAAGAGCTGATTCATTTGCTCCCAGTTCTAAACTCAGAATTGTAGAATCATAGAATTATTTTCACTGGAAAACTTCTTCCCAGTGAGCAGAGATCCCAGACCCACCTTTGAGAAGCGCCGTCTTCATGTTTTATGTGGCTCTGTCACTGGCTTTTTGTTTTTCTTTTACCTTTTTCCTTTTTTCAGGAGACACAAACCTTTACAAAATGAAAACTGTATCTTTACCTACATTTCAGGGACTTCAGCTTTCACCCACAGTTAGCTGGATGCTCCAGTTTATACAGTTCCCATCCCCTTAAGCACACTAAGTACTTCTCTAGCATTTATCTCATACCAGAGAATTAAGCCACTATAATTTCTTTTGTGGCACAGATTAATATGGAGTAGAAAACACAGGGGACAGAGAAATAATTTGCAGTATTTTAGAAAATGTGTTTTTCCTACATCATTTTACACTTAAAGCAACAGTTGCTTGTACAGTGCCTTCACTCAACATAAGGAGCTCATTGCAACTGAGAGCTAAAACCAAATCATTCCACATTTGTCTTTGACTTCTGAAATTTGCTAAACCTGGATTTCTCAGCAGCGATGCAGGTGGAAAGAGTTTCTACATATTGAAGTATCCATAGAAACTGCAGCTTTTATCTAATATATAGGATTCAACATCCAACCCCTTCCATTACTTAGCAATGAAGGAACAGCCAATTGTCTCAAATATATAGACTCAGAATAAGTTTTCCCATAACAAATTGACATAAATGACTCAATCTTGAGCTTTATCAAACTACTTGATAAAGCTACTTACTATTTTTACGTGCAGCTCATGAAGCTGCACATAGATACAGTATTCATGCCACTTACCAAATAAATATCTCTAATCTGAGTTATAAAGTGTACAGCTTACCAGTTTGTACTAATAATTTCATTAATACTCATTAAATAAAGAGGCAAATTTTGCACTTCAGCACCATTGTAGTACTAGTGTATTAATGGTCTGGAAACGTTTATATCTTTATCTCAATTTTATGGCAACAATTCGTATAATACTTTTTTTTTTTTTTTTTGAAGTCCAAACTAGTGCTTTGAAATCAAATTTTCATTTAGCCTAAATAAGAGCCTAGGTCTTTTAAGTGTGGAGCCTATAAGCAGTGGCTTGGGAGAGGGATAAAAGATACTACGGCTAGGGGTTTGGGAAGCACCAACATGTCTCTGACTAACAGAAGCTTCCTCAGGCCCTTTTCCTCATGTAACATACTCTGCATCCACAAAAGCACTCTCCTGATGCAGCAGCTTGCAATCACAAGCACGTTGCACCTGCACCAAAGTACATTAGGTAATGAATATTCTTAGGTTTTAATGTAACTCTTCATGGTCAAACTTAAAGAGTCTTACTGCTTCAACTGGTGCAAAAGAAATAGCATTGACCTGAACAACAAGAATCACTCTCTGTCAGATTCACATGTAAAATAAAAATAAGCCAGTAACTAACTAACTAACTAAATGAGTCAGGACTAGAAACTACTAATTCTGAGCATCCTGGTTGCCTAAGGGAGCCAGTACTTGGTCTCCCGATATCGCAAGGAAATATGCTCATTTCAGTAATTCAAAACAGATCTAATTCCTTTTACTCATTATATTTTCCAACACGGCCTGGTGCATGCTTTCTTTTAATATGAGATGTTGATCTGAAATAAACGAATTTTTTTCTACCAGGGGCCTATCTTGATGATTCCCAAGAATGTCGGTTGTGTGAAGCATCCTGTCAGAAGTGCATTGGACCTGAGGTAGATGACTGCATCAGTTGCTCACGCACAAGGTAATTGTCTCCTAGCAAAGTGCAGGACAAAAACCTCAAGTCATCAGCTGGAGGAGTGGCTCTGTGGTCTTTAGCACTGGCTTGCAGAGATGGGTGAAGAAGCTAGAAATGATTAGGGAAAACAAAACCAAGGCCTGTGAAAAAACAAGTGTTACATGAACAAGACAGTTGGCTGCACAGGTAGCTGATGTTTAACCAGATGATTCCCACAGATACAGAAAAATTTATTTTGATATGTGAAATGGTCTGTCTTTCACTTTCCTCCAGAATTGCTAGTAAGAACCGTGACAAATTTAACAGCAAGAGTCTAGGGCATATGTAGCTGTAGACAGTTGTAAGGTGTTTGACACAAGGCATGAATATGGCCACTGAGGACATCAATCAGCTAATTCAGGAGTTGTTGTCCTTAATTGAGGTGTCTTAAATTAGGCTGATTTTTCTAATCTGCCAGGAGTGAGTAGCACTAGAAAAAAATATTTCCACATGACACTGCAGATTAGAGGCTTATGTATAGGTCATCTCACACCTAATCCAAGAGTCTGCTGATTTTAAACTCATGTCTTACCAATAAGGTTTAGCTACCAAAAGCTTACCAATAGCTTTATTCTTGGTAGCTCTGGTTCTGTTGCATTGGCACTGCAGCCAGATGATATCTGTGCTGACATGAAATCAGAATCAGATGCTGGAAGGCATAGCAAAAAAAAATCCCCAAGCAATCCTGTCATTAATGCCAATAAAAAACACACCAGCACCAATGGGGTGCAACCAAATTAATAACTGAGCAAACAGTATTAAATTAAGGTGTTTTACGTCACAAAAGGCATTAGCACAGAAAGTATGGGAAGAATTTTGTAATGCGGGCTGGATTTCTCCCATTCACAATTACAACTAAATTAGATTATCTGTCTTTCCTTCACCTGTTCTGTGAGCTTTACACAGCAATATTTGCAAAACAAAGGCAGCAAAACCACCTAGGTGTTTGTAGTACGATTTCTCTGTGACCTTTAGGAAGGGTGCTGCTGTCTCCTCCATATAACAAATCCTCTAACAGCTTTCAGTTTTGATATTTAAGGTTTGCAAAAGCTTTCTTTTCTACCCATTACGAAAGCTGTTAGAAGTAGTTATATTAGGACAGTCAGTAGTAAAAGAAATAATAACAAAGAAATATCTCACCCAGAGAATAAAGAGTAAATCCTTCCAATGGGCATTATTCATTATGTGCTTGAAATAGACTTGTTTAATTGAAACAGAATCCTAAATCTTGTCACTCTTGAGAGCTTCACATGGTGTGTATTGAAGACAGTAATAAGCGGCCATTAGATAATACAGACTAAAATTTGACAGTATTGCTTTCCTACAGGGGAACACCTTCTCTCTTTAAAAAAAGACTCCAAGGGGAGGGGGCAGGCAATTACTGAAACGTAGAAATGAAAACACTGAATGATCCCTGTTCTTTGTGAAAATTCAGCAGTAGATGAATTCATAATAAAATTACTGTCAGATCACCTTCTTGTCTGGCAATTCAAAATGCTGTTTCCTGTTCCTAAGAAAATTATGGAATTGTTGGCGTTTTGTCCATCCAAACTGATTTTCACAAAATTCCTCATCTGTCTAATTGCTGTTTGAGCTACAAAGGTTAATGACAAGATCTGTCACCTGCTGGTGCCTTCAATTAGAGGCAACATAACAAAAGGCAAGGAAACTGTACTTTACCTCTGTGTGAGGTGTTGGGAGGGTGGCTACCATTGCAGCCTGCACAGTAAGGTTTGCATGGCACATAAGCATAGCCCAGCTACTTCCAGAACTTCTGTCACGTTGTCCCATCTGCACAGAAACCAAACAGAGAGGGCTGCACTCCCTATGAAGAGCTGAGTAACGGCTTTAAACCTGCTGGTATAGCTATAAGAGCTACATTCTGCAGAGGACTACCTCACTGTCAGACTCCAAGGCAGAGATACATCTTTGCCAAATATTTTGTATACCCATGAAAGCTTCTTTCTGATTCCCTCCAGCACCTTGCCATCAGCCTCACAAGCCCTTTTAACCAATTTCTAAGTTTTCTTTCTTACATGCACTTCAGAAACACTGTTTCCATCATAGTCGATTCTTCCATCTTCATGTTTTATAAGCCTTGACTTTTCCAATCATGTTAAATTTTAAACGGTTTCAAAGACTACTTGACAAAATTAGTTTTAAATTTGCAGATATTTTTCTCTTCTTCTTTCGGAATAAATCTGACAATGACCATAGACACTCAAATTTATGAAGGCATATTGCGGACATTTTCTAATGCCATTGACTGGCTCTAAGGAAGCACGCACTATCTTAATGCTACAGAAAGCCTCCTGTTCCCTAGGTGGACAAGACAAGCTGATACCCTCAAAATCTGTACTAAGATCCTGAATGGCACTCAGCTTCTCCAGAAATTGAGTCCAAAGTCCTCAGATACAAAACTGGCCAAAGCAGTTAAATGTAGAAGATTATAGTAACTCCTCTCTTATCTTCTAAATTTTGAAAACACTGTCAAATTCTAGCCAGCTTGCTTTAGATTAATTTAATAGCCATATTTGTATTGATGCTTTTCTGCTTTTCTCCCAAAGAGATTAAAACCAGCAGACATTAAGTAGCAGTGAAAAATAGGCTAGAAATTTACATCATATATAAGGATATTGTAGCAAATATTTCTTTACCCATCAGAAGGAGAACATTTAATGGCAAAACTCCCATTTGCAGATATGGAAGTCTAAAAATACAGCTCCTAAAGGCCAAGATTCAGATAGATGATTAACTTCTTGTATAAGGTCATTTTACTGAAGCCATAATACACTGCAGGAAGCCTTTAAAGTAAAACTACTAGGAAACTTCAACAGACAGATCATTGTTTCACAGACCAAAGACCAAGTTTTGCTTTCCTTCTAGCAGACAGAAGTGACCACTGCAGGGATTGTGATAGAGGAATATGTAGGTACAGGATCAAAAGCAGACGTTTCTCAGAAAAATCTCAGAAAAAAAAATAATACCTGAAGTCTAAGATCCAGGTTCAAAACATGGTTGATTTTCTTTTACCAAATAGTATTGATAAAATCAGGGAAATTAAGGAGTAAAGTGCAAAGCCTCTTGTAGAGTGAAGGAACTGTAGCTTGGGTTTCTTGTTAGTTGCCCTGAAATTTAAAGAACAAGTAGTCCTAAATTTTTAATTATGCCTGTCTCTGCCTCAAAAGGGTCTTTGATGATGGTCGCTGTGTTATGCAATGCCCCAAAGGAAAGTTTGAATTCAAAGGACAATGTCATTTATGCCACCATACCTGTCTGGACTGCAGTGGAAGTGAACCAAACAAATGTACCGCTTGTGGAACAGGTAAGAAAGCTTTCCTCTTTCATCTTTTTCCCCTTCCTTGGCCTGCAAGTTCCCTTTCGGCTCTCCTGTCAGGGCCAGGTGTTAGAGCCAATAAAATAAGTAGTGCTTCTGCTCCTGATTTGTGTCATAATCTTGTTTTAACCCTGAAGAGAGTTGGAATTCAATTCATTTTTTAAAAGTACAAGAAAACACAACTCTGCATTGGTCTTGCACCTTTGTGGTTTTCCCTTGATATATTTTGAGTAGGAGCTATATTAACAAAAACAGAAATTGGCACACAGGAGAAAAAAAAGGACAGGAAAGCTACATAGCCTGCCCCTGAAAAAGAAAGCTGCATACCTGCCTCCAGCAGCCTCTACACAGAGTGTGCTACACTGGAATGGAGCAAGGCTGCACAAGCAGGCAGGGAGGCAGGGTGCTTTTCTAAAAGCCTGTCTGAGGAAGGCTAGGAGACAAGCATGCTGGGTTCCAGCACAGACTTATGTGTCCCTACAACTGGATGAACAGGGCCTCCAAAGAGAAGCTTACCACTAGCACAGAGAGAAACTTGTCTTTTTGACATGTTTTTAAAGAGTTCAGGCTGAGAGAGAGGGTAAATAGTTAAAGTTGTACTTCTTACAAAAATAAAAAAAGCCTCTACTTTTGAAGCTCCTTTTTAAAAATTATTTCCTCTTGACTCTAATATCTGATGGGTGAAGAACTTGCAGCTATTACATACAAGTATGTGTAACTAGCCTGAACTGCCTTTGGAAATGAGTATTTAACTTTGAATTCACTTAATAAAGAGGAATTTTTGTTGTACTTTTTCTGAGTACTCACAGTATATTCACAGCCTTTTTCCTTTCAGCTGCTACGTCTGTTTCAGTCCTAGTCATTAAGGACCCAGGTTTTATTTAGCAATAGGTGTCTACATTACAAGGAAACACTAGTATGGCTGACATTCATTTGTTGGGATTTGGTTTCCTACTTTTGGAATATGTGATCATGTAGACAAAGATTTCAAATGGTACTTCAGGTCCTGTGTGAAGGAGAAGTTTGTATAATTGTTCCCCAAGTCTCTCCCTATGGTGGACAGCACTGCACCTTTCTGTACTTCTGTGTAACAAGAAGTGAAAAGGCTGATGAGAGGCACACCCTGAGGATGCTGCAAAAAGTTATTCTAAAAATGTGTACAGAAAAGTAAAAGAAACAAAGTCTGAATTCTTCTGCTGTGGTGCAGCAATTATTCCATATTATAGCTGCTTTCTCTGCAGTTCAAAACCAAATTCTTGCTCTGTAGCTAAAGCAATCAAATACACTTAACACAATAATAAATGTAATAAATATAATTTAAGCAGCTGGATAAGCCATTAGAAAAATCCCCATGTCACAGCACACGGTTCACAAAGTTGTAGGTGTTTTCACAGGTTTCATTCAGAAGGATTTGAAGCAGGGGACCTCCCAGCTCCCCATGCACTAGAGAATGCTATTGCTCTGATAGCAAACAGATGCACACTTGCTATTCAGATTCAAATCTAAATAATTCCAGATTCTAGCTATGACTAGGATGAGGATTGCATTTTAAACTACTATAGACACAGACTGATCCTTTCCAAAGGTGAAATGAGCACCTTCGCTTTCCTAATGGCAATTCTACCTCTGCATGTACAACACGGTACAAATACTTGCATATTTACTGCAAGGGAACTCAGTAATGGAAATCTCTCAATCCTTATTTTGTTTGTGGGTTGATAGATGTAAACACCAATTATTCACTAGCATGGCATCTTTATCTGTCATAAATCTCCAGGAATGTGGAAGATTTGAGATGCTGAAAATTTTGCATGTTAGCTCATCTGGTATAAAACTGCACAAAATAGGCAGTCAATGAACAATATTGATTCTCATTAGCTGCAGCACTGGTGCTTCATAAAGCTGTTTTTTATGCCCATGTGTCTGTTATGAATGACATATTTTTTCTGGTTTTTGTCCACACAGATAGCAGAGGGATTGAACGTTTCCTGTATCATGGGGAGTGCAGAGAGAGCTGTCCTCCAGGTCACTACCATTCAGAGCACACCTGCGTGGCTTGCTCTGGCCACTGTGAGGTGTGTCTGGACTCCAGCCACTGCAAGAGATGTCTCAGAGGCTACTACCTTACTCAAAACATATGTCAGAAGCACAGTTGTAGAGAAGGTAAGCACCCGTCAGTACAAGTTAAACATTCTCTTTAGTTTGTTACAGAAATCTGGTTAAGGGTCTTAGTTCCTGTATTGAAATATACAATCACACTTAATCCTGAGGTCCTCAAATTCCAAGTCATTGATTCTCTTCTAATAACATGTTAATGTAAAATAAAAATATTTTGCTCAGACTGAGTAGGGTTACACAGAACAAATGAGAAAAGAAATTGCTGTGGATCTTTCTCCTGTTTGCTTTGGATAAAGTTTATTTTCAGTAATCTTGCTGAGTGCTTCCAAATGTTTGCCTTCCATTATCAATAATTAACCCAAAACTGGTGATTTGCAAAATACAGGTGAAGTGGAAGACCCTGACTCTGAAGATTGCATACCATGTTTAGATGGATGCCAGAACTGTAAATTGGGTAAATATTCCCTTTATTAAGTTTTCTGTTTACTGTTAAAGTAGGAGAAAAATTATTCGTTCTTCCTCTCTTGTCATGAGCCTGTGTGCACACTGCTGAGCACTTAGCCACTGCTGCGTTCTCTCACCAAGTAAACTGTATTTGTTCTAGTGTATTCGTTCTTCAACACTATTTCTAAATCCTATGTCTCCAGCATGAATAAGAATAATTTTTAATTAGTTCAGCTATTAATCTCTGCAGTACTTTTCTTTTCCTTCTTGAATACTACATAGGCTGAGATTTATTAATTTTTTGAAGCCATTTTCAGACACAGAACTCTATCATAGATGTTCAGATTTTCTAGACCTGAAAATAGATCATTAGCCTGTGCAGTTTTTTTAAGGAAACAGACATAAGACCCAAACTTCTTTCAGCAATAAGTCACTGCAATAGCAATGCTACTGCCCTAAAAAAGTACTAAGATTTTGTACTAAATGTACTAAAACTACATCATTTTTCTGCTGGAGTAAAAAAAATGTTCCATCTCAGCATAATACGATATTGACAAGGAGTTTATTGTCTTCACATAAATGCCATTCAATTTACTGAACTTGATTTGATCTGTACCTCAATAGAACACCTTCAGAGGGGATTAAAAATGTTCAAAAGGCATTTCAATTCAGCATTTCCACTGTGTTTACATTAAGAAAATTTTATTTCCTGTGGATATATGGACAGCAGTACAACTGATCAGTAACTCAAAACTGAGAGGCAATAGGGTGACCCATCAGAAAGACAGTCTTCACCTATGAGCTCTTAGACAAATTTCTTCTCAAGAAAGCACAGAGTTTAGATAGAGTAGTGCCAAAGAAGTACTGATATGCCAAGACACTTTAGTAAGACCATCTACACCACAGATAATCAGACTTTGCTAAAATCTTCTTGAAGGATTATACAAAACCAAAAATGAGAAGTTGTACTTCTTTAGGTGCAAATCCAGAGCAAGTCACTAATCTGCAAATAGTTATCTGGAATTGCTACCTTTTAAATGAAAGGAACAAATTTGGCTTCTTGTAGTTCCAAGGACCACTTTTGAAAGTCCCCTCCCTGGTTTCAGGCAGATTTCAAGAGACAGGAGTTCACGCTGAGCCCTCCAGTTTCTCCCACTTGCTCCCTGATGTGTTTCTGGGCCTAGTGCAACAGGCACCACTGGCAGTATCAGAAGACTGAATCACAGAACCTTTTAGGTTGGAAAAGACCCTCAGGATCATTGAGTCCAAACATAAAGGGCAGGGTGGGAGGTTACAGATGGGCCTTAAACCCAGTTCTTGCCACTCCGCAGGCAGAGGCACTTCTGAATTTTGCTATACAGAGCAGAGTAAATAGTAGGAAAGAAAACTGTGAAAGTACCCCATAAGGGGGAGGGGGAAAAAAACCCAACCAAACAAACAACACAAAAAAAACCATCCAAACAAACAAAAAATCCCAAAGAAACCTCAAAACCAGAAATTCATTTCCACCACTGGCATTCCACAAGCATTGCAATGTTCTTTCTCCTTGTGTGTCAACAATATTTTTCCCTCAGAAACAAAACAATCACAAATGCTCAGGCATACCAAACTTATGTAACAATTTTAATCACATACTACTTTCTTTCTTATAGTAGTCATCCAATCTAATACATCATATTATTAAAACTCACTATTAATCTGATGTTGTGCTTTAGACCCAGTTGGGAACTGAGCACCACATGGCCACTTACTCGCTGCCCCCCCACCCCCCAATGAGAAGGAAAAGAGGGAGAAAAAAACCCAGAACCCCACAGGTTGAGATAAGGAGAATTTAATACAACAACAGAAAAGGAGAAGTAAATAACAGTAATAACAGTAATGAAACAATATATAAAGCAAGTGATACAAGCCAGACAGGCCAAGCTGGCTCAGAACTGATGGCAGCAACCCAAACTGAGAGCACACTCAGCCTGACCTGGCCCCCACCCTCATAGAGCGGGCATGACATCAGCATGTTATTGAATATCCCATTGGCTGGTTTGGTTGTCTCTCTTGGCTGTGGCCCCCTCCCAGCTTCTGGTTGAAATAACCCTATCCTAGCCAAACCAGGACATCTGGTGACCAGCCATTCTGCATGAATCCAGATGAGCCTAATGCGTTCCTCAGTCACTACACCTGTAGCTTTCAATATTGTTGGATGAAGAGTTGGAAGGATCAAGATTTAATATGATTGCAACTGCATAATGGTTGTTTTTTTGTATGGTGTGGTATCCAGATTCACACCAGCTAGCTGTTTGGTTGTGGGAAATAAAAAAAAAAGAACAGAAGTTAAAGGAGAAAAATCTGTTTCAATACCAATCTTTATTGCTGCTGTCAGACACTACTTTCCCATGTTAATATTTCCAGTGTGCTTCACAACACCTGTGACTTAAAATCCTTTATGTCTCTTCTGCAACTGTTTAGTGCCAAATCTTGCTTTGAATTAGGGTGAAATGCACTATAAATAGCAACTTCTCTTAAAAATATTCCTTGCAAGTAACTCAGAGGCTGATTTTCTCTGTGTATGAGGTTAATAAGCCTCTATAAAGAGACTGCAAGACTGTTCATGGGCATACAGAAAAACCAGCTCTACTAATTGACCTTTGCCCTCGGAAGATCATTCATCTTCTAAACATTAGTCATCCATAATATCACTACATATTTGCTCTCTGGTTCTTGCACTCAAAGTTCGGAGCTCAAAATAAGCTTTTCAAAAGGTTTAATCTTAGCTGTATTTAGAACAGAAGCATAAAAATGGCCTAAAAACAAGATCCTAAGCCATTTTTGCAAATTATCATGTGTTCCTGAAATAAACATGACCTATAAACTGAAACTTGAAATTAATCAGGTAGAGATTCTCTTTGCTTGTGTTTCTGCTATTAATATTCAATGAGTTTTCTGGGCAATCAATAACCTAACTCATAGATAAGTACAGTAATAGGATTCTCATTTCTTATCAGAAAATTGATATATTTAGAGACTTCTGGAAAAAAAAAAAAAGCCACCTGAATGTCTTTTGGATGAAATGGATTCCTTCTTTGTAAAGAAATTGCACTGCCATAAAAATAACTTAAAACAGTAATATTTTAAGGTGAGAAAATATGGAATGTGATACATTTAGTTTCACATCTTTACCGTCTTTCTGCAGACTCTCTTTTTACATTTAAGCAAAGCAAACGCGGCAGATTTTGCAGTCTCTCTTTTTCTTATCTTCCTTTCAACACCACTGAGGAATTTAATCTGAGTAAGAACTGTAAAGTAGGAGTAGAAAAAGCATTCCAATGTTATGAACATTTCTACGAGAAGTGCAGCACAAAGCTCTGGGGAATGCTCTATTAAAAAAAAAATTTAAAAAAGACGAAGAAAAATGTAATCATAACAATGGGAATCAAAATTATATAGTTCACATACTGAAAAGTAGTTATTCATGTACAAATGTAAATATATTTTGTGCATACATATCTCAAAAGACCATTCTTTCACAAAAAAAAAGTCATCAGGCATTTTGCAATTTGTGAAGTGCTTCGAGATCCTTTCGTATAAACTGTAAGAGAGAAAAATAATTCACTTCTTTAATTTATACTGAGTGAAGGGTCACTTATAGAAGCTGTGTGAATTTAAAAAGCAATATCAGACCACAATGACATTATGTTGTAAACTAGGAACAATGACATGCAAGTGATTCTACTACTGTCTACAAATGGCAAAGGTAATTGTAATATTTTTCTTTTCTCTTTTCTAGGCAGATATAGTTTTAAGGAGGGATATAAATGCTAATTAAGATAACTGAACTGCCTGTTTTCCTAATAGCCTGAAGGACAAGTAATTTTTGGCCGAAACTTTTTCTCACAGGGCACCAAAGAATAGATGAAACTGATGCCTGCAGTCTTGTTCAATGTTGAGCTGCTTTGCACAGGAAACAAAATGAGTAAGATTTACTCTCTTTTGGCGTGATGCCAGGTGTCAGCAGAACAAAGCAAGCAATGAGGACAGACTGTGTGGGAAACCTCTCTTCTTGACCAGTAGTGACCCTATAAACAGATTAAGACACAGACATCATACTTTTGTGTTGTTTGATACTTTGCATCCCATGTCAGACATTTCAGAGAAGGTAAAACCCATCCAGTAATTAACACTGCAGGCTATTGTTCACCAGATGTGAGGATAGTGAGATGGAAGATTGACAGTTTTGTAATATTTTCTGGGATCCTCAGAGAATGAGGTAAAATCTGTCTGTTTTCCTCCAAGTTTGGACCCAGTTTTGTTTTAGGGCTCCAGTGTGGCAATATATCTTTACTATATCTACACTGAAAGTCTAAGAGCAAAGATTGAAACTGTCAGAGTGACTTAATTAACAACAGACAAGTCTTTGTAGTTTAAATACAGATGATGCTTTCTTTTAAGTTCAGGCGATACTTTCCTTTCTGATTCACTTCATTAATTTGGAGGCTGCTCATATTTTAAGGAGATAAAGAATCTTTAATGCTCACAGACACCATTCTGCCTGCAGACATTGTCAGATCCTGGGATATATTATAGTAAAATTGCCTCAGACAGCACTAATCCCCAAAAGATCTGTGGCTTTGTGTACACAATGTCAAAACAATGGCTATGCCCAGCAGGGTTCACCTCCCTACCTTCTTCTGCCCACATGCTCTCGAATGCAATCTGACTGCACACTGCTACACTAGCCCAATTGGCATGCTCATGCACACAGCATCCCATGAGATCTGAAAGGCAGACTCTTGCACAGGCATTGAAATCTGAAGTGAGAGCTAAAGACAAGTCAAGTTCTAAGAGTGACATCAATAGATATGTTTAATCCTAAATTCTTACAAACTTCAAATACATTCCTACCGCTGTGCAAGCAAACGTAAACAGAAAAGTGGACAGACAAAGTGTTTAAGAAAGTGTGCTGAATAAATTTCAAGTGCATACTTTCAAGATTATCTTTATGACTTTGGTACCTCA